GAAAGAGTGAAGGCTTCTTTTACCGATGCGACAAGACAGCCAATTTACAGCAGTTACATTAATTGAGAAAATTACGTTGGGTTTACACTGCTTCAATTGCCTACGTGTACTTCTGCAAGACAAACTGGCTCCCCTTCCCAAAAGGGCAGACAAAAACATCCTATAAAAAACACAAACAGAATTTTGATACCCATGATGAGACAAGAACCATCGTCCAAAAGCCTGAAACTCTCCAACAAGGTTAAATCCTCTGCTGCTTCAACCAACCCTCAACGGGGGAGCTACAAGCACAACGCCGTCACCTCTGACAAAGAGCATCGGAATATTCCTTTTGGTGGACTATAAAGAAGGAAAAAAAATAGTTTACATTTACAAAAGTATAGTTTACAAACACACATCTGCTAAGCATGGCCAAATTCAATCATAACAAATCACCAGAAACAACTCCAACAAATACAAGCTCAAACACACAATGTTTTGTCATGCTGAACACATCAGGACAACTAACACCAAGACTTCAGATAACCTTTGTACTTCTCAAAACAATTTGCCCAAAACTTCTGTTAGGTCCTGGTTGAAAAAGTACTCAGCAACAAACTACTTTAACGATATAACACTTTAGTTTTTAAAACGTTTTCTGCAGTGATAAATACAGCAAGTCCTTACTTTATAAATCTCTTCATAGGTTTCTTCATCAATCTCTATTGTAGTCACAGTTTCTTCCACGTCACCCAAAATCATATTTAAGTGCTGATCATATGCCTGCAGGAATGAAGTTTGTTTATTATTTCTGCCAAAATTCAAACATAAGGTCATTAAAATGAGACTTTATAAAGACTTTCAGACATAATTAGTTTACCCAATATTGACCAAAAGGCACCACTATGTCAAAACAAAGCAGTGTCAGTAATGGTTATAACTTCAGACAAGTGTCAACAAATCAATACTCTGCAGCATCAAAGAAAGGGAAGACATTCATAGTCACTGAAATCCTCGTCCAGGAAATAGCTCTGAAACATTCAGTAAGAACATGAACAAGAGCTCAGAGACATACACACTTTATTAGCATTAAACCAGCTACACATCCTCTGCCTCCTGGGATTGACTGGGGCCAGCGTAAAGGAAATGAAAGCTGCAATTCACACGATGCTACAGGAATATACAATAAGCATATGTCCCAAACACCTTACTAAAGCATGTTGCAAACTACACGTGTGCCTCGTGGATGTCTCCACACCTTTGTGATCCCAAAGGAGTTGAGGCCCAGTTAACCCATGGGACAACTGGTTCTCTCCCCCAGCACAGTACAGCACTCAGGAAGGATGACTGATGTAACAGAAAGCAAAAGGCTGTGACATATCACTCTCAGAAGAAAGCACTTAAGCTAAATTTTGAGAATCCAGCTGAGTACGTAGCCTCACAGGGCGGGCCTTAAGCAATACTTGTTTGATGATGATAATCTCACTCTTAATCCAGTCTTAAATTGACCTCAGGGTACTTCATGAGAAGGGGCCTGGAGCATTATGGCTCATTTCACAGACAGAAACAGAAGCAAAAAGCAGTGGAATGATTTGCTTGGTATAATTCAGGAGACAACAACATCAAAAAATACATCTCTTGACTCTGGAGAAGCATTCAAGAGCAGACAGAGTACTGACAAATTAGATTTTTCCACCAATCACATTACACTTTGACAAGAGAAAGGGTTCAGCCCTCGTTACTAAGACAATCTTTAACCTACCTTCTCTAACCACTTCTGCACTTCTAACCATAAGAAACAGCTGTGCTTTTAAACTAATTTTTAAACAATCCATGGATTGGTAAGTTTGTGTAATAGTCTGTTGTACATGAAAAAAAAGGCTTCCTGGTGCTTAGCTGAATAAGCACAGTAGCATTCTGAACATTTTACTTACATGTAGTCTGCCTCTGAGCTCTCTGTCGTTCCTCATTTTGACATAGATTCGCTCATCTAGACTGAGTCTGATGAGGTCAAGTGGCTCCTCTACAGTGTTTGTTGTTTGTTGCTAAAAAAAATAAAATTAAAAAAGTTACTTGTACAGAAGAAGCCTGTGAACTTTTTCATTACTCAGTGCTCGTGAGACACAGAATACAAGCAGGGAAAAACACAGATTCAAATACTGCAAATAATTCCTTCACATCCTGCTGAACCTAAGTGCAGCTCATATGATCATCTCACGGATGTTCACTGGCCTAAGCAAAACGAGTTACAAGACTTCAGTTTATTTGGCAGCAAGACATACCTCACGGATATTGCTGTAAAAACTACATTCCTTATCAGCACCACGGTCCGTACTGCAGCAGACAGCCTGCCCTGCATGAACCAGCAACACACCTGTGGCTTTTTTGTGACAAAGGTGTACTTTGAGGATCACAGCTCAAACGAGTGAACACCTTCGTGCATATCCCGCAGCACACTACCTATTTCATGGAATCACAGACCGTTAGGGATTGGAAGGGAC